CTGTAATTCTTGACACGCCTCTGCTGGAAAGGACTTTTCTGCTTTCTTCGTTTAAAAATTTACTGAAACGAACGGGCTGACTCCGAAAAGAGGCCGGTGTGAGTTTTTGCGTGTTCTGAGTATTGCCCTGCTGGCCCGCATCTTTAACGCAGGTGGCCCACCGGTTGCCTCTCGCAGCCGTCACTTCTTGTGCGAGGCAGCGCTGCTTTTGGGAGATAACGGGAGATGTACCCGACTTGCAGAAACATCGTGACATAATTGGAAATAAGCACCAATTTCCATCCTAAACCAGTAAGGACAATCCGATTTCCAAAGCGTTTTACGAACTGTTCCAAAGTTCATTTTACAGACGGCCCAAGCAGAGTATTGATACTAACCCACAGCAGTAACTTTGCACTGAGAGTACACACGTACATACCTGAGAAATAAAGGAGGCAGAACGCATCTGAGAGTTTGCTTGATGCAAAACTAACAGGGTTTTCTAAAGCATGTGATTTTGTTAATAACCTACCTGCCTTGCTGTTTTAACGACAGTGATGGATGGTTCGTATCTCTTGATTACGTAAAGTGTTTGTTTGGACTCGAGGACTGCAGAGGTAGCACATACCCACTACCGGGCAGATATATTTTCTGAGAATCGTTATTGACTTCTGCTTCCTTCTCCCATCGCATTTAGTCCCAAGTCAAGCTGGATTGACTGGATGTAGCAATGCTTGGTGCTGGCGCAGCTGTGAAATTTGGAGCCCTGCGGAGCGTTCTGCCAGCCTGCAGTGGGGGGTCTGGCTTGGCTTGGTTTTCATCCGCACCTTTTTTCAGCTATAACAGCTCTGCTGCGTGTGCATATCTGCTAGCGTTGATCGTCATTAAACATGACATAAGAGAAGAATCCTCTTGCTCCCAACTGCTTTTAAGTAGGAGGTTTGAAACTCTGTTTGAAGCCATGCTTTAGCTTAGTAATGGAGGCACTTCAGATGCTGGATCAATGCATCCTGTGCGAGTGCAAGCCTCTCTGATTCAGTTGCTCATTTTCCCTGCCTTAATAGGTGGTATCTTTATTGTGCTGCCACTACCAACTCAAATATAGCCATGTACAATTTTATCCTTTATGTCATTTATGTCAATAGGGAATAGAAGCTGTCAGTTCTCTCTGGCCCAGATCTTCAGATGCATTTAGGTGCTTAAATGCCATTAAAATCAATGCTGCTGCTGTGAAAGAGTTGTTTATTTTGAAAGAAAAATAAACTGCCTGCTGGCGCATATAGAGCACATTGCAGGATGGGCAGGTCTTATCCTATGGGTCTGATTTCCCAAATTGAACAGGGCTACCTTAGGCGGTCTGTGCCTGTTCCTTCTTCATACTGTCTGCCCCACTGATGCTATGGAGCAAGCCTGTTGCGTGCATAGCAGGTACTGAACTGCACGTATTACAGCCCTCTGTATCTAAAGTGAAAGCAGGGACAGTTTACATAAGTATGCCATGTTCCTTCCCAAGCAGCTGAGTTATCCTTGCAACAGCAGCAGGGCAAGTACCTGGAGTCCGAAGCAGCCATAGGCATCACAATAAGCTACCGGTGTTTGTCACTCAGCCCCAGTTAATCACTATTCTATAGATCTTAGCGAGAATCTGTGGGACTCGGATGCATGCAGTTAAGTGCCTTATTGGTTTGATGATCTGTGCATAGGACACACTGGGATACTTTTAAGAAGAAACCTTTACCATGGTAACTTCAGACCATATAGTATACTGTAACACATTTCTATCAATAATATTCTCTTGTTAGAGTACGGCATTGCCTGGAGGCTCTTGTGGCCCTTTGGGTTGGAGCTTGTCTCATTATGGTATTCTGGTAGATTAGCTTGGTGAAGCGTTGCAGTAATTACAGTTAGACTTAGTTTATTCAACTTCTTAATGCTCTAAAAGGGGAGCTCAGTAGCACTTCAGTTGGAAAAATAACAAAGGGCAAAAACGAATGGAGAGAAAGGCAATGAGATCAGAAATGTTAGCAGGAAAGAAATGAATCCTGGAAAAATTCAAATAATTTTAAAATGATAGTGTTGGAGATATAAAGGAGTGAAAATGAATACTGGATGAATATGAACAATTGGAGAAGCAGGTTGAGAAAAGCAAATTCTTACTTTGGAGTGGCTATGGTACGAGGTACAGAGGTGAACGCAGTGTGACTACTTCCACAAGTCCCAGTCACTAAACCTAAATTTTGTGAACTTCTGGTTTGGGACAAATAAGTGACAAGATGGCTGAGGGAGACTTGTAGGTGTTCTTTTGTCATAAGTAGATTTTTAGGAACCAGCATCTGCAATTCACCGTATCTTAGAGGCTAACCCAAGAATATGATCTGTATTATTGAACATTTAAGTTCCAGAAAGGTGACAGAGGCAAGTCAAAAGGAATGAAATGTATTCAAAGGCTGGGCAATTCTCTATATTCTGGGAAAATGGACTACTTTATGTACCAAGTGGCCAAATAATTCAAGGAGAATCTTTCCATAAGACAATTACATGCATACTGGCTGCAGCCATATCGTTAGACTACCTCAAAAATTGTTAGACTACATCAAAAAGCAGTCAGTGGATTGAAAACCTGAAGAATAATTTAAAAACTAGTCAAGGTAGGGTGGCTGCCATCTTTTCCTTCACTAAAAAAATTCCTTGCAATGCTGTGTTTGGATGCATTGACCAACATTAGCATTATTTTTTGGTCTATCTAGTGCACAGGGAAGAGTGTGTGCAGCAGGAGGTTTTACTCCCACACAGTCTGTGTCTGTACCAGCATCTCTGTGTGTTTGTTAGGGCAGTAAAGGCCAATGGTATGGGCTGCTTTTGGGGACGGAAGATGGTGAGTGTTTTCTGATGATTATTTCTTCCTGACAGGAACTTTCCCACACATAAAACTTCATTTAGGAAGTTTTTCTCATAGCAGGGGAGCAAAAATACATGGCATTCTCTTCGTTGCAGGAAATTACAGACAACTTTAGTTAACTGGCTTTAACTGAGAAGTTTGAACTCAGACCATGAGCTCAACTCTATAGTTTGTAGTAAGATGGTTTGAGAGCAGATGTATTGATTTGACAAGTTTACAGCCTCTTACAACTTTTCAGATTAAAATTCTAGTTCTGGACTGAAAAATCAAATTCATGAAGTTTATTAATTTTAATTATTCTTTCCTGAATATGTAAAATTCTCATTCGTTTTCAGATTGTATTTTTCCAAAATTTTCAATCAATACTGAAATAATTTTCAGGATGGAGACATGAATGTATCCAGGCTGCTGTCAAAGAGGTTTCCAGTGAATCTGCATGAACTCAGTGTTATATTTCATCTGCTTTCTCTTGGAATTTCAGAAGGATGATTCCCAGAGACTTCTGGAAAGCTTCAACTCTGATGAAAAAGAGCACACGCTCACGAAAAGTAAAGCAGAACCCTATACATCAAAAGAGGAAATGGTGCTGGAGGTAAAGCTCTGCTGTTGTTGTTGTACATCCATTTAGCTGCATGTAGCAAAGAGCACGTTCAGGGCCTGGTCCAAACAGTCTTAATTTTATTGGGTTTGGAATTGAGCCCTTGAAAAGTGTTCAGAAAAAGCATAAGAAGGAAAGTGGGGGTTGATGGCTGCTTATGAATGCAACCATTTCAGGCATTAATTCCCCTTATGAATTCCATTTCCCTTGGGGGACTCTTTTTGGATATTTTAATCAAGATCCTGACTTCTTTTTGTTAAGGGGCTTCTTTGGTTTTGTCTCTACATTGTCCTTAATTTCAAAAGGCTGATGGGAAAAGTTAACACCATTGACAAGAAAAAGTTCTTAAGTGCTGAAATCAGTGCTGATAGTTCATAGTGGATTCTTTCCTGGAGAAGGAGATTTATTAGAAAAATTTTGACAGTAATAGAATTCCCTCATCAGGTCCAACCTGGGACAAATATTTTTTTTCTAGAGCCTCTTTAGAGCTTGCAACTCTCAGTTGGACTGAGCAGATCCACAGAGGGAGAAAGAATAAATGAAGAAAAATGATTATGTTTGCGAACAGCAGCATCTTCAGTGGTTTTCTCATATAGGAAGTTCTCCCATCGGGTGCCAGCTGAAGATACAGTGCAGAGTTCAAGTGACCACAAGTACTAAAACACCACTGTGGTGAGTTGGGATTCAAGGACAATTAGAGAAACAATTTGGAAAGAAAAGTAGGAGAAGGTATAAACTTAACCCACCCTCAGTCAAAAACTCAGATAACTTTTTTTTTGGTGATAATCTCAAAATAACTTGAGAACCAGCCATACCACGTGGTTGTTAGATCACTGCCTTTCACCCAAAGTTGATTTGACTACTCTTGGTGAAGCTAAAGGTTGTGAGTTAAACAGTACATTTAAAACAATGTGCAGTTCAGCTAACTCATTCAGTCTATCATCCATAAATTAAATACATGCAGAAAGTGTAGGTTAAAGCCAGCCAGTCTGGTGCTTAGCTTGTAATGAGAACTGGTTTCAAGACAAAGAGAAGATAGACGTTATTGTAAACATTTTACTGTTGGTTTAAATCCTGACAGGTAATTAATCTTCATTTCAGTTTTGCGATCAGGAATGGTGACAAAGCATGGTTGGTCATTTTGCTTGAGTTAAAGTACAGCATAACAAGTGAGCATGGATTAGATTCTCTTTTGGAGTGTAAATCCTGTGGGAGAATTTATGCAGTGATATCGCTTTATGCATATTACCAGTCCTTTTGAAATGGGAACACATTTTTTTAAAAGTGATCATTCACAACTATATCCATTTCCCAAACACGTTAGCTCATTTATAACACACTAAGAAATAACCTTGGTATTTGGAGGGACTTTCTCCCACCTATTTGTCTAACCACTGAAGTTTTTTTTGGTTTTTTTTCCTATTCATTTGTTCCAATTCCCAGAGGCTTTTGCTGTTACTAGCATCAAATTGACAGTTCATGAAGAAGCATAGACGGAAAACACTTTTAGTTAGGTTAGAGCACTTCAGAAAAAACAGGTATTTTCATTCTGAGACCTTCCACATTGCAAGAATACCATAATTACCGTATTAATAATAACTGTGTATTACTCATGCCTGCTGAGAAGCAGGATGTGTTAGTTCTAGCACACTGTGATATGGCTTTACAGCTTTGGACTGGAGCTGCTCTGCCTCCAGCCATTGCAGAGCGATAGCTCTGTCAGCTTCTGTCCCTGAATGTGTACTGCAGCAGTGGGACTGCTCAGTATGAGCAATTGTTTTACACGCTGACCCTGTGCTTTTAACTTTTATCAGTAAATCAAAAAATGACTTTTGGAAATAAATGAAATGGAAATAAAAATGTGCAATGATAAAAGAGTCTAATGAATGATGTAGTTTGCTTTTCTCTTCCCATTTCTATTTTTAGACTCTATTAGTGCTTTGATATTTCCTAGAAAAATCTATGCAAAGAAAACTGTGTTTTGACAAATCAGATTCTTTCATTTCATATGACAAAACCAAAAAAGTTAGAATAGGAAATATCCTAAAGCTTGGACTTAAACGTTCTATCTGTTGATTATAGCCAACCTTTTATTAAGCCATACATAACCTCACAAAACAAAGCTGATTATCCCATTGTGCCAGTGCATAAAGCAGTGGCTAGAAAAGAGGAGGAGGAGAAAGTCAGATTACATGATACAGCAGATTGTATGAAAAGAATGCATTATCTGTAAGAAGTTCTTTGGAAGAACACTGGTATTTTCTCTAGATTATAGGTAAGGGTTGTACTATAAAAGTTCTTTCTGGAAAAAATGATGACTAGTTTTGTTTAATCTATTGTTTCTTTATTTAAATTGAAAGACAGAATTTGTAGCCATGATGATACCTGTGGAGCTTATCCTTTAGTAGTTTCTATTATTAAGATAATTTCAGTCTCTCATGTGAAATCTTTAGTTGCTGCTAAAGGGGAGAAGAAAAACGCGAAATGGAAATAACTTGTGAATGCCAGCTTTTGCCTGTTTTCCCTTGCAGGAGTAAAAACATTTTGGACCAGTGGTAATGACAGAGTTCCCTTTTCTGGGTTTCATACTCTGAACGAGTCTTATGAGAAGACTTCTTGTGCCAAAGCAGAAATAGTCAATAAATAGTTACCAATAGGAATTTCTTAGTTGTGTAACCAAAAGAGGCATGTGATACTTACAGTGAACAACCATCAGATCTAGTGCTGTTCCCAAATGGTTTTCTGTTCTTTTCCATACAGGAAAGTGAGTCTCCTCTGAACAGTAATGTCACGGCATTTGCATTGAAGGCAAAAGTGATCTATCCCATCAACCAGAAATTTAGGGTAAGGTTTTAGATTCTGCTTGTAAAAATTAATGACAATCATTCTGTGTCAGAGTAAATTGCAGAGTCTAGTAATGGAAGAAAACTTACTGCCAATCAGCTTAACAGGGATCTTTGTAGTCCATTGATTCAGGGCTTATTCTGTAAGGCATCAGCTGCTTTCAGCTCCCCCTGAAACCTGCAGTGCTTTACATGGTGTCTGGTCAATTTTCACTGTAGTTGAGAGACTTTTCTTCCCATTAATGTTAATAGAAGTTGGGTCTGTCCAAGGAGCCATAAGAAAAACCCCACAAGGATCTGCCCTTCAGTAAGAAAACAGGCACCAAGCAGATAACCACAACAGAAGAATGATTTTCTGGGTAATGCACAAACCTGTCAGTATGATGAATCTTAATTTATGTGGAAACACTTTTGCTGTGTCTATTGTTTCATTTTTGCTTGAAAGCAAACACTGCAAATTGATGAGATGTTTATGTCCTTACGGTACTGTATTAATTGACCTTGTGAATTTTCTTTGACTGTAGCCTTTGGCAGATGGCTCATCCAATCCATCTTTGCATGAGAATCCAAAGCAGGCCGTTCTGCCTAATCAGGTCATGGAGACATCTACGTCAGGCAGCCTGGGATCTTTGAGCCAGGGAGACAAAGAGGACTGCAGTTCCTCCACAACAATACATTCCACAACAAGTGATGATAGATTTCAGGCTCGAGCCTTCCTCAAGGTGACCAGCTTCCCTGAAGTGCTAACATGTGAGAGGTAAGCAGTAAACCTGCCCCTGTGTTTGGTCATTTCCTAGCATGCTCCAGTGGTTTTCAGGACAATCAGTAGAGGTCTAGTGTAAACCAAAAGCTGGCTTGAATGCATACATTCACCACATCAGGACAGAGTTATCTGCTTATAACCCTAAAAAAGTGGTTGGGGAGATTGAAGTAATACATCATGCTGCATACTGGAAGTCAGTTTGTTCTTTATGAAATTCTGGGAATCAGAACTTCAGCAAAAGCTGTCTCGTAAAAGGTATGTCAGTGTTAGGATAAGGAGATCCCTTTGTTTTCGCTTGTATGCTCATTTCACGCATGCAGTGGTATGCTCGACTGGGGATGAAGTCCTCTGCACTGTACAAGGTAAAGTCACACAGCAGGTGCCTTGAGAACAGCAAGTGCCAGTGGTCTGTTCTCTCCGTTTTAATGGGAACTACTCGTGTCTTATTGTGGGAAAACAGTTCCTTTGTCAGATGCGCCACTGATGAGCAGGTAGAGCTAATCAAAATGGACTGTCAGCTCTGATTTTCTTTCAGCTGCACCATGGCAAGGTACCCCTAGATGAATACATATGTCTCTGTATTCTCATTAGCAAGAATAAAGAAAATCATATTTATGTCACTATGGGGAATGGGGAAGGTACTAGCAATGAAGAATATTTTCAAAATGTCCACTCTTATAGCTGTTCTAATTTAAAGCCTTGTTTTCCCTTTGTTGTAGCCACTCGTGCCTATATTTACCTTGCCTTTTTTTAAAGGAAATAAAGGAAACTGAAACTCCCAACTTTATTAAAAGCACTATTTGTTTTGCTTACTTCTGTGTAGAGATATTTTATCTGAAAGAGAAGGCAATGTGGAAGTGAAGTGTCTTGACTGCTGCCTTTAGGAGAATTTAGTGGTTAAATGAACCTATTATATGGTGTTGCCCTTTTGTGTAACCTTCACTTAGATTGATATTAACACTTTTTAAATCTTTGTTTTAGTTTTGATGTTAAGCTCTGCCTTTGCAGCCTTATTTTAAAAGATCTCATGCTTCTTGATACTGAACTCAGAAAAGAAAAACATGTGGTAGGTATTCATTCATGTCTTATTTATAGCTATTTGGTTTGAACATCTTAGTTGAGTATCAGTTTAGGAAATAACATAAACAACTGGCTAGCTGGGAAGTAGTATAGCAGAGTTGCATTTCTACAGTATCATCTTTATTTTTTCTCCTGTTCTGCATACATAGGAGCTTCATAAAGTGATAAAATATAATGAAATATATTGGGCTATGAAATACAGAGGGTCAGACTAGATAATATAAAAATCTGGTTTTAAACATTACTCCAGAGAATAACATACAGCACTTGAGGTTCATAAAAAGAGGGAAAAAATTATTTAATAGATGATTTTATGTCTTAAGGACAGTGCTTATGCATTGCAACTCCAAGGACTCCAAGCTCTTTGAATAAAATTGAAAATTCAGTTCAGCTGAATCAGTACCATTGTGATAAGTACAATAGTCATGATTTTGTAGGACAGAGGAATTGAAGTACCCATTTAAACCACAGATAGCCACCTACATCAGGTCACAGCATCCAAAGCTGACAGGAAAAAAAAAAACAGAACAAAACAAAAATGGATGTATACAATTAAAGCCACAGGATACTCAGTTAGGAGAATTGTTTATGGTGACTAGTTATGATCGAGTACAGAATCATTACCATTACTGATTTTTAGATCAGTTAATATAAATCTGGACATAAAGTATATAGCTTTCTCATTCCCTTCTTTCCCGACCTCTGTTTAAACACATTGGTCATTTCTGATGTAATTTATTAAATGCAGTGAGAATATTTCAAGGGGTGGGATTTTCTGAAAAAATTTCTACACAACCCAAAGGAGGAAGCGTGCAAGTAAACCTGGAAAGCAGCTTCTCTTCTGATGGGTTATTCCCATCTAAGTAGATGAGAAAGGGAACTTGAGATCAGATTCCAGAAGGAAGTTTATCTTGACTAGGGAAGGTTGAACTTGATCTCAAAGTTAATCATCAATTTGTAAATGAAATTAACATAACAACATGGTGATGTAATCACAGAAACACTGAGAAAATGAGCATTTAATGTACTTTGTGGCCCACCAGAAATTACCACAAAAGGCAGATGACTGACCTTTAGCTGAAGCTTTAAATAGCTTTATATTTTTGCTGGCACGGAAAAAGGGAAAAAAAATTTCAGTCTAGAGAATAGTTTCTTCCCTTTCCACTCTGCTTTCTCTGATTTCAGTCAGTCTTTCTTAGCATCAGGTCTAGGAAAAGGAAACATACCCTCTTCCTTCAGGGTTTTCCTGAATTCTTTTTTTTTTCCTTGTTACAGTATGTGGTGTCTTGGTGGTGTGTGTTCAAAACTTGCCAAACTTCTATCAAAAACATTAGCAAGTGAGATCCAAAATATGGCTGCTTTATGGTTTTTTCTTCTACTGAGCTCTAATTATAACATATTTTCCAGATTTTTCTAGCTGAAATGTTGGCTTCGATAACTGTTTTTAATATGTAAATATGATTTTTTTTAATATGTTTAAAATAGGCAACTTCTGCATCATCTGTTTTCAAGTACATGAGTAACAGGCAGGTGGCTGTTAAATTTCTCATATTTTTATCTTCACGTTGGAAAATGCTGCAGCAGTTAGTAATGAAGTGAATTCTCTTTATACTGACACTAACTGAGGCAAGAGGGGAGGAGGTTACGCAAAAATCATCCCAGTGTTCAAAAACATCTTTTTGAAGACACTAGTATTACAATCTTTAAAAAAAAAAAAAAAAAGGCACACAACTGGAAAATAGGTGTAGTTTTTGTAAGAGAAGGTAGCTAGAACTTGAGATGGTTACTTTTGGGTTGTATATAAAAATTTTTGACACTTCATTTGGCTGACTACAGTTGAAATCATAGTAATGAATATGTTGGTATCTTTCAGTTTAGGAGTTCATTAAACTTTAGAAAAATGGGCTTTATATTAAGGGATCTGCATTTTCTCCAGTAAAGGACAGTTTCAAATGTGTCAGTCTGGTTACAAGGCTATAGGAGATTATGTCCTTGTCCTTGTTAGAATGTATCACCATCTTCCAGTATCTTACTGAAGCCAAAGCCAGAGAATTTTTCACAGTGGAAGTACTGCAGAGCTGCTGATGATGTTTCTGTTATTTTGCATATGATTCACTATAGTCTCACTGATTGATTTAAATCAACAAAAGTTATCACAAAGATGTCCTTACAATGTTGAACAGGCACTTACCCTGGGTTTTGTTTCCTTCCTTTTAAATAGATGTTTAGTCAGATTCTCAAAATACGCCTCACAGACTTTTATCATAAAAAGAAGATTACTGATGATTTGTTCAAGAAGATCCTTTTAATTCAGGAAAATGTAAGTGGTTTTGTTGGTTAATATTTAAGACCATAGAAAATAAGAGTTAATCCCACCTGTTGGTGCAAGCTGCCACAGCAGGCTAGCTCACCTACTCCTTTTAAACAGCAATGTCATTTGTAATCTATTTCAGAAGAAATGCAAAGTAACACTCTTGTTAGCTGATGCTCTCCATTACCTTGTATGCATTTCCTCTTTGTTACTGTGTGAGGTGATTAGGACAGCGATGTGTGTAATCTGTTAAGGATAAAAGTATTTTGTAGTTGAATCCATTCAGGCAAACAAAACATTGTGAACCTTATTCACTCAGATTTAATAATTTCTAATTATAGGGTCTTTGTCTGGTCCCATGTATCATTACTAATAATAAAATAGCAGGAAATAAAGTAGCAGAAGGAAACTCAAGGCTTTCAACAAGGGAAAATATTTTCTTCATTGTCCTTTTTTCTTCCATATACTTGTATGAAAATCCATATGCTACTTCTGAACTGGAAGACATACATTGACAGTCAGTATGCATTTCAGGTGGAGTCACAGTACTATTTTTAAGATTATTAGAAGGAAAAAAGGCTTTACAAAACTAAACAATAGGAGAGCTACTAGTTCCACTTTCCGTTTTCCAGATTAGAGTCATAGAAAAGTCTGGGTTGAGAGGCACATCTGGAGATCGTCTGGTCCAACATTCTGTAGGAAGCAGGGCCTCAAGTAAGGTTATCCAGTGCGCTGCCAATCCAAGTCCTGAATATTTGCACTGAAAGAGACTCCACCATCTGAGCAGTGTAGTCCAATATTTAATTTTCTCACAGTAATGATTGTTGCTTGTCAGCTCTAGTTGTTGAGATTTATTTTGTTCGTGCAGTCTCACAATCTGTGAATTAATATCAGGAATCTCTGTAGTTGTACCCTATAATTTGTACCCTATAATTTATATCAGAATGCATTTTGCCTTAAAAACACTCTTCTGCCTTAAATCCTCAGGTTTAGTATTAAAGTTGATTGTATTTACTAAATGAAAAGTGAGATTTGGTGTGCGAATCCCTTTTACTGATGGACTTCTGGTAATGACTTCAAATTATACATACAGAGGTAATATATATATGAGGCACGTTTCCCAGTATAGCCTAATCGGCAATGAGGCTTGACAGCATCGTTGTCTTCATGCACCTAACTGAGCTGCTGCAAGACAAAGGCTAAATCTTGTTTATTAGATGCAGTAATTGCCGGAATAGTCCAGTTGTTTAAGTGTCAATATGGGATTCCTGTGTCCTATATTATGGAGAGAAAGGTCTTGGAAACGTGACAGCTGTAGAGTTGGGATATCCTGTAAGGGATGAGGCTGGTTATGAATACCATGTAAAAGAGACATTGGTAAGCAGCAAAAGTACTAGCACTGGAAACTATTTACTGTAGTACTGCATTGGCAAGATGGAAGATTATATGATTTATTGCAGAAAGCACTTTCCTCTTTTAATTCTGCAGTGTAAGAAAAATCCATGGGATTTTGATGAAATTGTTTGTGAAGCTTGTCAAAATCTGGTTACATTCTTTAAGGCATAAGGGTATCAAGTTAATGCATTGATACCTAAAATTGGGTGGTATTAAAAGTAAATGCTTGTTATGTAAGGCATGTTTCAGCAACTGAAGAGTCATCCATTTCAGTACCAACCTACTAAGTAATGGCAGAAGACTTGTATTTGTTGGTATCATTAGCTTTCAGAAAAAAACATCCTGGTTTCAAAGGAATGAAAAACTTTAAAAACCCATATAATGACGTAGCCTGTAATTTGTCCCTTATGAGCATTACAGGTGTGTTCATCTGTGTGTGCTAGCACTCTGCAGGAAACACTATCTGATTATCATATCTGGATACTTATATGTTTTTAAATACAGCTTGTACACTCATAGCTGCCATTTAAGATGGGGCACATGCATTAAAATAAAAATATTTGTGAATAGATTCAAAGGATTATTACTATGAAAGCTCATGGAGCAGTGTTTACTAAAACTTGAATTCAGTGGAGATGGACAACAGTCTTGATTGTACTCACATACTAGTGGAAATATATGTATTTGTATTAAGTGTAGTTCAGAGCTGCCACATACCTTTGAGTTTTCTTTGCTTGCTGCAGAAGGTGCATTACTCACAGATAGAACTTTCTGAATGCTCTTGTGCAGCTTCCTTAGCCATGAGCCAGAACTGACATACAAATTCACTCCCAAATTTAGAAATTATGTCTGGTTTTCTGTTTAACAAATCCCTTGCTTTTTTCCCCAGGATTTTGAAGAATTACAGAAACAACTTGACTGTAGACTCCAGAATGCTGAGATGTCCGGAGCCCATAATTCAGAGTACCAGACTCTAGAAGACTTAGAAAGGAAAGAAAGGGAATATTCTGAGCACGTAATAGATAATGTAACTTCTAATTTTTTCTAAAATTTTATTTTAATGTTATTCTTTTGATGGGGATTGCTTTTTTTTTTTTTTTTTAACTGTTGTGTTGACTAGTCCACAGTCAGTAGTTTAGATGTGTATGAGTCCTGAAAACATTTTTATGTTGCTCCAGCAAAGTATTTCCAACTCCCTTTGGGAGCCAATATGCTTTTTGTACAAACACTGTCTTATCACACTGGATTTAGAGCTGAGAAATGCCTATTGCTTGTCAGATGGTAAGACTTATTTCAAGCCTATGAATAGCCTGACTTTTAGCAATTTTATCCTAGCGCCTTGTTGTCTTCAATCCTCCATAACTGAATAAAAGAGTAATAAGAAACTAAAAGTTTTTCAGCTGAAATAAGTACTAAGAAAATAATTACAGTACAATCTTTTAGTATGCTTTGCACATTTACTTTAGCAAAACATTTTTCTTTACCAACTTTCCACATTAGAATACATTTACATGGGTTTTGATGCAAAAATGTAGTTTGATAGCAGGCGTTTGATTCTCATAGTAAAGTGGTTTTTTTTTCTCTTCAATAGTGTCACTGTTTCCAAATAGCTTGCAGGCTAGAAAACTGGAGGTTAAGAATAGTCTGTATATTATTTTTCCAGTAAACCGAGTAATCTGGAAGATATTCTCCTTCCCAGTCCTGTTTTTGAGGTTTGAGCAAATTCACTGCTGATGAAAATGAGAGACTGACTAGTCAGACTGATGGCTCTGTGAGCTGCCTGCACTGATTGACTGTGGCACTTCAGCCCTGAACTAAGCAGCCCATCATCTCAGCCTTCAGCCTTTTTCATAGAGGAGTTAACATTTTTTAATGTCTGGTGGTTAAATGCTTCACTGGGAATTTTCTCAGCTTTCTCTTGATTCTCTGTGCCTTCCACTTTATAGCGGAAGCCCTGGTAATGATGGTACATCTGTATCAAGTTTCTTTTGCAATTTAACTTTGCTCGGTGAAAAATTGATTGTTTAGAGGTCTCCAGAGTTAGTCACATAAAAAAATCGCTGGCACCCTCACTGAGCAACATGAGGCAGTTATTCACCAGCAGCAGTCATCCTTCAGTGGGTCTGTCACTCTTATGCCAGCAGATGCTTTTCATCCATATTGAAAATTATTTCCCTGTACACAGATTCGTACAGATCAGGACCTTGAACTTATCCAGTCTTCCCTCAGTAATATAAAGGGGTTTTTTGCTATACTCACAGATGCCATAGTCACAGTTTTTTTCAAAACTCACAGATACTTAATACAAATCTTGGCAATGGATACATTTTCTTATCTTTGTGTGTACTAGTAATCCCATTGAAAACCACAGAATATTCACAGCTGTGCACAGTCTTCTGTGTTTGTGGGGTTGGAGCCTAAAACTAGAGATTACGCATACGATAATTTATCAGAATGGGTGCATACACTGTGCTGATACTCCATAAAGTACTTAATTCCAACGCAATTAATAACGTGCTTATGTAGTATGTGGTTGTGAAAGGTTTGATGGTGAAAAACAGGGACAATTGTCAGTTTACCTTTTTTAGCAAAAATCTTGTTTGACTGGAATATCTGCTCCTACAGCTAAATAAACTTCCCAGAAAAAAGGGCTGCAGTTCGTTATCTCTTTTAGTTTTCCCATTAATGCTAACAACATAATAGGCTTTTATAAATGCAATATGTGGGAAACTAACAGGAAATTCTTAGCGAGTTATACAGAACGACTGTGGTTTAAAAGGTCAGGATTGACCTACTGGTTATGTGCCACCAACACACATATCATCATATAGTAAACAGGCTCTTTAGTTTTGCAAAATGTTTACTAAAACTAATACTGAAATATGTCTGTAGTCTCAGTGACTTATATCTCAGTAGACTCATATGCCTCTCGTGGTATTGCAATACTAGATGATTAATGAGGGAACATGGATTGTTTTTTGATTCGTATTCCACAGATGGAAGCTTTCTGGAAGCAGACTGACAAAGCCCAGCAGGCTTTTTTGGACCAATCAAAATGCTCAAGTGCCAAAGCAACAAAGATAATGATGGATCTGACCGAGAAGATGATTGCAGTAGAAAGCTTATTAAGTGAATCTCAAGATTTGCAGGCAATGGTAAAGTACAAAAAAAAAAAAAAAATTGAGAGAGATTTAGTCAATCTGAACACAAAGACTGACGCAAGTGTACAGAGTCTGTCAGTCCTGCCTCAGGAATGATGTAGACTGCTCACTCCAGTTGTCTCTTTCAGCTTTGTTGCAAAAAGCTCAACTTCCATTGCAGTTTATGAAGACCCACAGGAGGGTGAACTCTCTGCACTTGAGTTCTAATTCTCAAAATACCATTTAGGCAGACCTGTTAGGAAAAAGTGATATTAATGCAGCCAGTGAGCCAGGAGCAAGACCACTAGATCTAATGATGAAGGAGAATCGTCACCCTGGGCATTAGGACATTTCTTTTTCTTTCAGAGTATTTATTCCGCTTTGACTGAGAAATCGTAATTTAAATTTGATGGTGATTCTGTGTGTCCAGTGACTTTAACTGGAATTGAAAACCCTTAACATCTCTTAGTGATGTGATCTTAAGATGGAAAAATGTGTCTATAAATGCATCAGCACTATGCTTTATGTTGTGTTAAATCTGACAGATACTTATTTGCTTTGCACAGGACATACTTAAAGAATGACTTGGAATTTATAGATTAACAATACAATCAGAATCTGGCCCACTGCATTTATTAGTAATTTGGAGAATAAATGGATAGCTAGCTTAATTTGGCTTACTAGAAAACAGATACAGTATTTATTAGCTTGTTAGTTTTTCATTGGAGCAGCTAAGTAAACTGAGCTGTCCAGGTATGAAAATAGTCTTTGCAGCTGATCACACTTGACCCATACCAGGCTATTGTACAGCAAGTTCCTTCAGATGGGCAGACTTCAAATGAGGTGTTTGGATACAGATACAGGAAATATTCCTACCTGAAGTCACTACTGTGATGCTTGCATCTCATTGCAAAGGTCATTGTCTGCGTGTCTCCATTAACTACGGTAGTTGTCACACTCACCTTGCAGAATTGTCAAAAGCAGTTGCAGTTTCACCCAGGAAATCTTGCTCCCTACTGTAATCCTGGGCTTCTCTAATAGTGCAATGAAAACCACTAGGCCATAGGCAATTATACTGATTTTTATTTACTGTATATTTACTGAATTCCAGCTGACCACATACTTGAAGGAATCCCAGCAGTATCAAAATCAGATATGTGTCCTCATTTCAAAATGAAGGCCCATACTGGTGTGCCATATAGTATCTTGAAAAGAGGTCCAGGACTTCCATGTTGCCCTTCTGTCCATCATTCCCCCTTGACTATTTAAGTTTGTTCTGCAAGCTTGTTGTTGTCTTTTCCTGACGTAATGTCTTCTTGACAGCTATAAATCATGAAAAACACTAGTGGTTTTAGATTAGCTCTTGCACCTGAACATGCAATAAACTCACTGCTATCCTACACCAGTCAAGATTTTCAGAAGTACTTAAGTGTATGAACGTTGTTATTCACCTGGTCTTGAGAAGCCTCCTCGGTTTTCTGTGTAGTTTGGGAATGAGTAATTCAATGAAAGGACAAGCACAACCAAAGTCCCATTCTTGGTTTCTAAACAGGACTTTTTTATGTTTGTTTTAGGACATTCAGGAAAGGTTATTCAATTGGGAGCTTGTGGTGAAAATGATCGATTCACTGAAGTCCTATATACCGGAAGAGTGCAAGTGTAGATTAAATATTATATCAAATATTCTGGACAATTTAACTGTAAAGAATAATCTCTCAGTCCGACAAAAGGAAGAACTTTTAACAGATCTGCACAAGGCCTTCTGGGAACAACTGGCACACTTCAGTAATGGTGAGTACTTAGACCGGAGCTCATGACTTTACAAATGTGGGTATGCGTTCTGATTATTGTATTAAATAGTAAAAAAATTATTGCTTTGGCCCTATACTGCTCTGTTTTAAAAAGGTATTGATGAATTGGCCAAGAACACTGTTATTGTGAAGGGTGGACGCTTAATATGGGAACTTTGGCTTTAAGCCTTTTCCAGGCATTACTACGAACTTAGTCTACAGTTAATATAATCTATACCTTATTTCATTATTTGAAGATTGAAGAAGAGTCACATTTGTTACAAGTCTTTGTGAGATTTCTCCATTTACTGTTCACGCTTGACATTGTTGGTGATACTGGCTAATGTTAGGGACAGTAATAGCTGTATATGTGCAGAATACTGTCTTATGATCTCCTGCTAGCATGTGGAGCCAGAAGACACACGAAACATAGTTGTGCTATTGCTCTTGTGAAAAGATAATTTAAGGCTTATGATCTTTAGATAAACTTCTGTTTTATTATGTCAGACAAAAATACTTTAAAAACAAAGTCTTTGCCTCTTCCTCTTCCACTCCTTCATGTTGCCTATCTGTAAAGTACACAATTACAACAAAGTCTAAGCTGACTGACCCACTGATGTAAGGTTCTCCCTGTGTCACTTTGCATGTTACCTAATGCCCAACATGTTCTGAAACATACTCCCACCTTCTCTGATAGGTGCTGTATCAAGGTCTCAGTGATTCCCATCAGCATCCATGGAAAATTATAGTACACATTCAGGCAAAAGGAAAACAGTGAGAAGTATTTTACTCTCACACATTTTGCAGAACCATTTCTGCTACTCATGGGCATATTTAAAGAAAATTGTGCTAGCAAAATGGCATTAGGGTTAGAGTTCAGTGAACTGAATGGTCAGAATGAATGTAATCTTGTTGCAGTATATTCTTGCTGCAGCGCTGCTCATTCACCTTCAGGCTTTGTGTCAATAAATTGTGCCGTATCTCATGGTCAGCAATTCACAGAATTACAGAACAGTTGAGGTTGGAAGGAACTTCTGGAGGTCATATGGCCCACCGCCCTGCTCAGGCAGGATCAGCTACAGCGGGTTGCCCAGGACCATGTCCAGATAGCTTTTGAGTACCTCCAAGGATGGAGACTCCACAATCTACCTGGGCTGACTGTGCTAGGGCTCAGTCACCCTCACAGTAAAAAATTGTTTCCTGGTGTTCGAGGGAACCTCCTGTGTTTCAGTTTGCGCCCCTCGCCTCCGGTCCTGTCACTGGGCACCACAGAAAAGAGCCTGGCTCTGTCTTTGGACCCTCCCTCCAGGTATTTATATACATTGATAAGATCCCCCTGAGCCTTCTCTTCTCCAGGCTTAACAGCCCCAGCTCTCTCAGCATTTCCTCATAGGAGAGATGTTCCCGTCCATCATTCCAGTTCCATCTTCATGGCCTTTCATTGGGCTGTCTCCTGTATCTCCATGTCTCTTGTACTGGGGAGCCCAGAACTGGACCCAGCACTCCAGATGTGGCCTCACCAGTGCTGAGCAGAGGGGAAGGATCACCTCCCTCCAACTGCTGCCAGTGCTTTGTCTAATGCAGCCCAGGATAGCAGTAACCTTTGCAACAAGGGCACATTGCTGGCTCATGTTCAACTTGGTGTTCACCAAGACCCCCAGGTCCTTCCCTGCCAAGCTGCTTTCCAGCTGGGTGGCACCCAGCATGTGCTGGTGCTTGGGGTTGTTCCTCCCCAGGTGCAGGACTTTGCACTTCCCGATGTTGAATTTCATGAGATTTGTGTCAGCCCATTTCTCTGGCTTGTCAAGGGCCTTACGGATGGCAGCATGACCCTCTGTTGTATCAGCCACTCCTCCCAGTTTTTGTGACCTCTGCAAACTTGCTGAACGTGCACTCTGCCCCATCATCCAGGTTATTAATGAACATACTGAGCAGGGCTGGACCCAGTGTTGACTCCTGGGGTATACCACTCATTACTGGCTTCCAGGTGGACTTTGTGAAAGTTTTCAATCCATCTCACTGTCTGCTCATCCAGCCTGTACTTCATCCTCTTCTCTATGAGGATCTGACGGGAGCCTGTGTCAAAAACCTTGCTGAAGTCAAGGTAGATAATAACCACTGCTCTCCCCTCATCTACCGAGCCAGTCATTTCATCATAGAAGGTGATCGGAATTCCCATGCTGCAGACTTGCTCCACTTTAAAATCCAATTAACCATGTGAACAGTTTGCTGATACTCAAGAATTCATGTGTAACATGATACAGATTATTTCATGGATGTTTACTCCTAAAACTGGCATGCCTACTTCATAGTCTTTGCATAGGTTCAGGCACTAACATTCCTTAAGCATTAACGTACATCTGTGGGTGTTTTTTCCCCCCTTTTTTTCAAGTTTCTCTTGTTCCAAAACATACCTCTGCCAAGGCCTTGATTTTATGCAAAGTAGGTGTTTATATATAGCTATATATGATAGTTAGTACAGCCTGTGCAGAAGGGCATTATCAACCTCCTAGTTTTAGATAGAAATGAAATGTGCTTAAAAAAAAAATAAATCTGGAGTGCAGCATTTTCACAGGAGAGTCCATGTTGACCTTGCCTATGAGCTCCTAAATACATAAGTTAAACTGTACCTATAATTCAGAAGCAGAACACAAAGCCAGCAAGACTGTGTTCCCAGGAAACAAACAAGGAAATAGTAAAGAATTAAGTAGTGTTTAAAAATAACAGTTGCTACATTTGTTCAAATGACATTTTTATTACAGGCTTTCCTATACTTTCAGTGCACTTTCAAGTGTTTTGTCAGTGCATCACCAGCCTGTTGATAAGCACAGTAAATGAGCATGGAGAATAAGTAACATGCTCAGTGCTACAGTATTGTTCTTTATTTCTCCACAAAATAATTTCTCACAGTTAAAGCAGCTTGATGTAGTGGCAGAACAACGGGCACAGATGTCTATTCCTTTGCATTCCCCTTTAGCTGCCTGTGTCAGGAGTGAAGTACTGGCCTGGGGCAGGGCAAGTTGGGGAAATGAATAGAGCGCTTAGGTGGACAGGCAATGAGACATGAAGTAGTCACAGAACACTGAAAGCACCAATTCCACTCTGCAGCACAGGGTCCAGATAGAATCATGAATTTATAAATCACTTAGAGGTATAGGGTGGATGAAGGGGGGAAGAACTCAGTCTCAAATATTTCACAGTACTGGCACAAAATCAGAGGGACCTTGACAACTTTTGCTGCAGGTTCCTGGATGTGTCACTTTGGAAGCCTGGTACGGCGGCATGCCAGTTCAGGCTAATCCGAACTAGCACTGCTCTAGACCTATTCTCACCGCCGTATGTTACTGCACCTGTCCTTGCAGCAGCATTTGCTTATCTGCAATTAGGTAATGAGCCACTTCTGGGCCTTCCAGAAGCAGAAGGGGGAGGTTTGGGGTGCTGCAGGTGGGAATCTTTCTTGAATTAACACACTGCCTTTGCATAAGCAGCAGCACCAGTGAAAGGGAGGGTGCAGGATGGTAGTGATCCAAAAACCTGATAGATTTAAGTGCCATGTAACAACCCAAAAGTTCATGTCTAAGACGACCATCAGGGTAAGAATCAAATTTGAAATCATGCATGGCAATTACTTGCCTATTTCAGTCACTAACAGATTTCTGAAAGCTTATGTTGTGTGACAGTAGCAGATGCTACTTTCTCCCTGTGGAGTTACAATATCTAATTGTCAGTGGTTTATGTTCCAGAATGTATCCAGCAAAGTAAAGATCTGATCTTGAAACGACTGGAGTGCCGTGCAAAGAAGAGAGAAGAGTTCAAACAAAGACAGAAAGCTGAACAAGGGAGTCTCCTCAGTAAAACTTTTCGTAATGAAGATGTTAATGATTTTCTTAAGGTGAGCATGTAAAAGCTTATTTTCACTGTTCCATTAGTTTTTAAAGCAAAATATATTGCATATTTCTTCCAGTTCCATAAAATTGGGATTTTTGAGTCCTCCTGAGAATCATGTACACTAGCACAGGTAGGATAGGGTCAGACTCCCTATTGCCTAGGCTTGCCTAGAGACTTTTCCTGCAGCGTTGGTCTTGTCGCATTGGAACAAAATGCCAAAGGGTGTTAATGCTAGATTATGCAGGTTTTGTAGAAAATACCTTTTACTTAGATATTATGTGTTTGGTTCAATATAGGGAATGTCTGGAGGAAAGTATCTGGCCTGCATTACAGAAGAATGCAGACTGCACTGATCTAATTGCCTTTCTATGAGTGAGATTGCTGAGGCTCAGAAGACTATCAAATTCCATGTAAGCAGAGGGAAAACTCATTATGATCACTGGCAGGATACCTTAGAGAAAGTTTGCAATAGATAATTTAATGTGCTATACAATGGCCAGTGTAATGGCCATATTTTCTTGGCCATATTTTCTGCAGAGCTTTATTGTTATTGTTCAGAATGTATATATGAAATCAGAGTTCTTAGCTGTAAATGCCGAGAGCTGCAGACCCAAGTTATTAAGAAATAAAAAAAAAAATCAATCCTCAATTTTCATGAAAAGAAATAATTTAAGGCTAAAGTGGTTACATTCAGCAGCATTAAATTTCTGAAGAAATCTAATAACTTAGATAAATTACTGTATGAGAAGACCCAGATTCCAGCTGTAGCAAACTGTCAAAATTTACTGCTCTCAGCACTGCCATTTGGTACTGTAGGGCCAAGTTCTTTAATTATATTGTACGAATTGGATAATGCAGTTACTGTTCTTGTATGCAACACCTGTCTGGCAACACCTCACTTCTAAACAAAAGGTTTCAGGCACTTTAAAACAGTAGAGCACATTTCACCTTTTTTGGCTTTTCATAGATTGAGACAAATAATTCTATCACATTCAAAACTCTTGGACACATCCCAAATTCATTAAACAAAGCTTAAAAAGTTTGTATTAAGACCTCTCCCCTACAAAGGTAGAGCCACACGGCTTTGTGCAAGAGATGCTCTATTCTGTGCACCTTAGAAAGCTAACAAATACACTTAGTTAAACTGTAGACTGACAATCTGCTTATGACAGGCTGAGCAAAAGTGAGCAACTTGCACTTCATGCTGCAGGACAGAACACAACTGAGTCTTAGTATTGAAATGCCTGTGTGCAAATAATAAAACAAATATGAAATTTAAGCCTTTCTACTGCCTTTCTGTTTGTCCCAGAACAGATGGGGTCTTGAGTCCAGCGACTCTTTGAAAAATAAGAAAAATACGTATATATCTGCAGCTCCCATGATTTGACTTAGATAGTTCAGTAATTATTTTGTGCAAACAATCCCCTCAGCATTGAGGAGCTATTTTCACGTTGAGGAGCTGGTTTCACAGCCAGCCCAGCAGGGAAGGAGTTGGTCCTGAATCCTCATCAACCCAGAGTTGTAGCCATCAAAAGCACTTTTCTTCTCTGCCTTCCCCCCTCCACCTCATCGTGCCACCATGGTAACAGCCTTGGCAGTAACTGACCTTTCTGCTGAATTTTAAGTGGTTGCCAATTAAGAAGGTGGATTTTGCAATGAACTTTCTTCACATCAATTTCTTCTGAACACAAGTTGGATGGTAATGATTTAGTTGCTGCAGCTCTGATTTTTTTTATATGACAGAATGACTTAGATATTAAAGGTTAGAGTCCCTGTATCATTCTGTCTCCTTCATCTATGTTTCCACTGGAATAGGAGCTTTTTTTTTTTTTTTTTTTTAACTGGCAGAGAATACAGGAATGATCAGGTGAAGCACACAAGCCAAAAAGTGCCAGTTACAGTAACCCAGTCTTGCTCAGCCCTAGCCCCGATGGACGTACAAGTAACAGCAATTAACTTGTCAAATTCTGTGGTAAACTACAATTTCATGAGAAGTGTAAATTTTAAACTCCACCTCTACAAGAATGACCTGTACATGAAGAATTTATGAGCACTTTGGTGCTCTTTGGAAGAGCCCTATTGACATACCTAATGAAGAAAGCCATACTTACCATGGGAAAGTAAGAGGGCACTTGGCAGTTTAAATCAAAATATGGAATATTTATGTATAAGAACACTCATTAGTCTATAGAATGAGATGTTCTTTGTCTGTGAAATTCAGTCTTCTATTACAGCACATGAGCCTGCCAACGTATCACAGGCATGGCTTGAAGAAAGAAATTGCATCTCTCTTAAATCTGTTACCAAGGACTAAATCAGGACCAAGACATAGATCAGCCTTTTAGGGACCACTGTGGGACATGGTGACCAACCCCAGTGGAAAAGCCCTATACAGTGTGATACAGCTGTAACTAAGGTGTCTGATAACGATGTCTGATGGCTGTTCTGCACCTCATAGTACTGGCTATGATGAAGTGGTATTCATACACAGGAAAGCAGGTTGCAACTCAGATCATTTCATGTGTTTTCCAGTATTGGGTACATATTATTTAACCCCAAATTGCTGAGGCTATGGGGTTTCATACTCAAGACTGGATATGCTCAAATTAAGGTGGTAAGGCAAGTTTCATTTCCATCTGAGTCATGGTTCCACATAAGTACTTACTGTTGTGATGGTAAATGGGAAGGGGATCAGGGAAGGGGAGGATCATAAGAAGCTATCAAAACCTTTTCATCTATTTAAATCTACCTATTATGTTTCTTTTAGGCTTACCATGAGCTGTTAGAGAAACATCGGCAAGCACAGTGGGAACTGGAGGAGGAGGATGACTGTGAGAGCACAGAGGCTGTTGCAGATCTCTACAAGGTGCCACCTCTAGTGATATGTGTCACTTACTAAAATAATTCTGAAAATCCTCTAAACCCACTACACAATGTCAGGCCTCTGGGAGGATTGGGGAATTGCAGGAGATATCATGGCAGCTCCAGGAAGCTAGACTGGCAAGCTGGGAGATGGAGACAGGACAGTCTTCCACGTTAGCTTGCCTTTTCCATTACCTTCCCAACACATTACGTTTCCTAACCTTGTATTAGTCAGAAAATGCCTTTGTGGTCTGCCAAAATGTGCTGCCTGGGTGGCTGACAAGGCTGCAATAACATTGAGAACATACAACGTCTGACGTTACTATGAGGAGAGAGACTTCATTTATGTAGCATAATTATCTCCTCTGCACCATGGTAGGATGATACTATTCTTAGTTAACTTCACTACATCTCCAAAAATAGTTTTCTCATCTCTTTTCCTCTCAGAGAAATTGTTTTGACACTAGTTAGTTCCCTGAAATAAGTTCAGATCTTTGATGTAAGTAGTATTTTTACATTTCTTTATGTTACTGATTTGGAAAATATGTAGATACTTCATGCTTTTGCGTCATCTTTAATTATTTTCTGTCTGCACTGAAAAAATAAGATAACATGATCTACCTGATGAAGCCCAAAACTGTAGCTAGGAGTGACCTTTAATTAGGCTGGAACTAATCGCTTTCAGCTCAACAGGATCCTTGTCATGATTAATTATGACCAGATCAGGGTGTTACAGAAACTCGTAGTCCCTATCACATTAGGGTAAGATACCCACACGATCTTAATTAGCACTAGTCCACATGCACTTTTTCCAATTCAATTGATAGAGAAAATAAAGCTACTGTATTTAGAACAAATAGTTTTGCCATTGTTTTATGTAATAGTGCAGGCAACAGGATATTTGAGAAGAGCTACTGCTTTGGAGAAAGGAAGAGTTTCCTTGGAGGGGTATGCCAGTGCATCAAAGTAGATTAATTGTACAAAGCTATTTAATTTAAGAAAAATCAACGTCTGCTGATATTATTGCGCACAGTCCATTCTCCAGAGTTACTAACTTCTCCACCCCCTTCCTCAATTCACATGAACTCTCTGGAGATCAAACAATTTTTTTTACCCTGCATAGTTCCACCTCATTTGTGAAATTATATTGCTTTCCTTTATTGTGTACTTTGCTCTGGCGACACTAAGATCAGACTGAAAATCCTATTTCTTTCAGCACTGTTAGCTAAGTTTTCTTTTCCATTAAAGAAAAATTGGTTTGGGTGAATTAAGTGTTTCTAGAATTGCCAAGTTGCCAGGAGAGCTGCACAAACTTGAACTGTGCCAATTCACTCAGCTCTAAGCCATTATATTCCATATTACAGCTGCTCTCTTATTCCTAGACCCAAACAAATGCTGCCAGACATGAAAAACTGCAAGTACCATGATCCAACTGGCATCTGTTGAATGAGGATCCACAAATCTTAATTTCCACTTTGTTTCTATACTAAAACATTCTTATTGTGACGTTTAACATAATGAACAACTGCACTTTCTCCCCTTAACCCTAAATACAGATATTACAGACTGTTTTAAGAGAGCAGACTGCTTCTGAATATACCTTGTAAGCAGCATAAGCTAGAAAGAAGAGAAAATACAAATGAGCATAGCCCCACTGTAGGTAAATGGAGATGTTCTGACTTCTACAGCCAAGGGAAGTGCAGTAGTTACACGCTGTCCATTACCTGGTGCATAAAAGCAAAAGTAGCTTTGCCATTAAGGGAAGGAGTTGCATCTCACAACCACAATGCCTTTGCTTCTCTGTCTGCTCCACCACACTTTCAGAGCAGAAATGCACCTTGGACAAGCAGAAGCCTTTCCCCAGGCAGCAGGGCCTTGCCCCTTCACTTAGCTTCTCTGGGTTTCTGCTGGGGAGAAGCTGCTGCTACCAGTGGGGAAGGCAAGATACCCATGGGAAGGCAACAGGGGTTTGAGATACTCCACAATGCAGTGGTGTGATGGCAGCTCAGGTAGACCTAAGCAAGCAAACGTTAAACTAACCAGCTATGTACCAGCAACCCTCACATGGCAAATAGTCAGCACTGCGCTACAAGACCTGTGTCCCACTTGGGTTTGAACCAGCTAGTTTGTAGAACCGGCTGGTTTGGGCACATCTGCGAACACTGCGAAGCTCCATGTTGTCATTCCAGAAGGTCTGTACTTAATGAAGCTTAACTGATACTCATTTGCCTTGCACTCATTTGGAAGGTTTGGACTCTGCTGTTTCTGTTCTACCATGAGCAAGGAAAAGGTTGAATTAAAGATTTGGTTAAACATTCTATTGTTCACTTAATCTCCATATTTCCATATCTACAGTCATGTGTTATTAAGTAAGTTAGAAGGCAAGAAAAGAAGTTCACCAGTGGAGAGTTCTGTTCTGTTGCTTTTTATCATTCCAGTAGAAACAGAAGCCTAGCAATTACTGAAAAATTGAGTGAAACTCTCTAAAGTCAACCTGGCATGCTCCACAGATAGTTGGATGAATATTCCTCAGCCTGTGGTCCACAAGACATCCAAAGATAGACAGCAAGACATTTAAAATAGATGCATTCATACATTTGTAAACACAGTCAGAGTGGAAAGAACTAGAAGTAATTAAATATTTAAGAATTCAGCCCAGTTTTTATTTTGTTGCAAGTGAAAATTAGCCTTGCAAAACTGCACAAAGTAGATATGCTTTCCCACACACACAAGTTAAATAGGTGTTGCATTTAAGGGAAATAAAACTGAGATGTCTTACTACAAGCTAATTACCTAAATCCAAGAGGAGGCAAAGTGTTCCTAAATCACAGTTTCTCCAGAACAAAGATTTAGCAATAGCATCTTATATGCCCCCTCTTCCAAGTAGCTCATACTCTCTACTGGCTCAGGATTAAAGAAATACCACATATTTCTTCTAGGCTGAACAATCTAATGTTGTCCAGTACTCACAGGATTTAGGGTTCCAGACAAGTTCCTGCCTGTGTACCCATTGCCATCTTGACTTTGGTTGGAAACCCCCAGAATTGAAATGAATCACACCACACTTTTCAGATTAATGGCAGCAGAACTCAACCATGGTGGGATTTTTCTGCCACATCCAAGACCTCTATTTTTTTAAGTTGCTTTCAAGGTCTTTGGGGCATCATCAATATTGCAATTTATCAGATAAACACCAATATCCTAGTAAAGAACAGCCATGTTTCAGACAAATGACCATTTGGAGTAACATCCAGTAAGTTCATGTCCTGTAACACCACCAGTGTTAAAGAAATGCATAATATCCTGTTAGCTAGAGTTAGGTCCCATTCTCAGGCATACCTTCAGCTAAGAGCAGTTACTAGCAGCTTTCAAAGCAACTGTCTTAGAGCATACAGGTGCCTCTATCCTATATCAACTTTCTAAACCATCCACCCCCATTTAAGTACCGTATCAAAACTTCCGCTGTGGATGACAAACCAGAATAAATCCTCAAGGAAGACAGCCAGTACAAAGTTCCCAGGGGCTGCACTCTGACAAATTCACTCAACCAAGCCCAGAAGTCCAAGTGCCCAGCTCTTGCCCTAAGCTCATGGTCCTTAGCTGCTATATTTGAAGGCCATTACACCTTTTTTTTCAAGGGAAAAGGACCTAGGAAGGTCTTATATGTGATAAAGGCTTATATGTGATAAAAAGTTTAGGCCCTCCATTCCTCCGTCTGTTGCACGCTAGAATAACTTGACTTATTTCAACAGTTACCTTGGTTTGTCCTAGTATGAGCAAGCAGGGCAGCAAGCCTGACAGTCTTAGTTTCGTGAATAAGTAGAAAGATGACTTCAATGCAAGAGGTGATTTTAAAATAGAAGGAAAAGCTCACCGTGTGACCAAATAGGGAACCAATGAATGTCCTGGGGACAGAAGAAAAGATGTCACTTACCTGTAAGTGCCACTCAGTTGTTGGAGAAGAGCCTTACCTTGTTCTCACAATGTTCTTCTAAGCACTTCTCAAATTTCTATGCCTTTTTTATTTTTTCCCCTTTTGAACAGTTTGTGAGTTCATCAAGATAGATTTATATAACCCTCTAGCACTACTGTAGCCTGCAGTGCTATAGCACATCAAAGAATTATCCAAATTGGTGAATAAATATGTAAAAATGCAGTGATCTGGAAGCTGACTGTGTTTGCATAGAATAATTGAGTACGTTTGTTTTGTGTACACATGAATAAATCAATTAAAATGATTTAACCAAGGTCAATGGAATCTGTTGATGCCTGAAGTGAATGAAGGAGTTATATTTGGAGGATATTGTAGGACTTTTCAGCCATACTAGTGGATTAAAATAGTGCGCTGTAAGTGAATAGTCTGTGTCTAGACACAGGCTCCGTAACTAATTTTTGAAGTGCGAATTGAGGAATGGGGGCAAGTGATTTTGATTATCACAGTATATCATAACTGAAGGAGGAATTGTGTCAGAGGTAATTGAATGGCTCAGCCTAATGTTTTCACAAACACAGTCTGCAGAGTTATCCCATACGCAAGGGATATTGTGCTGCAGTAGCAGTTTTGTATTGGCTTAGGTAGCTTTTCAATTGCAAAGTTCTTACAGTAATTTTCTCTTACGTGGCAGCAAAAGCACACACCCCACACCCCAATATACCCTGTGCTGTTTCTTGTTTCTTCTGATTTCTTGAAAAGATTAATGGCTATCTCCTTGCAAGTTGGTCTCAAGTTTAGCATATCAGATGTTCACCAACCTTTAATCTTTTCTTTCTCCTTCTTTTTTGTGAACTACCTACTTTTTTCAGTAGGGAAATGAGAAGTGAAAAGAGGTTGGTGCTTAATAGTTCATTATTAAGAAAAGACATGCAGATTGCACAAAGGAAATCAATTAACAGCTAGGAATTACATAGTCCATGGTAAGATAATTATTTTTCCTCAGCCTTAACATCAAAACCATAAAACCACACAATTTACTGTCATTTATAATTCCCCTTTGCTGATAGCAG